TAAGTTGCCCCAAACGGACCCTTAATAAGTGAAATACACCTTTTCAAGCATACGTAAAGTGACATAAACGTTAAAATCAAAATTTAGGTGCTGGATATGTAAATACATGGAATTGTTTGGTATGTTTGTAAATCTTCGTTTTATTCAACGTTAAGCAATAAATCTTAAACTATGTATGCTCTAACCATTACTCCACCTCCACTACCCTGGCATAGCTCCCAGATTCCACCACCCTGGCTTAGCCCCTACCACCTGATAAATCACAATCTCAGGAAATATTGTGTGTGTATATATATATATATATATATATATATATATATATATATACTCCCTCTCACTATGATAAGGGCCAATATCCTTAGCCTTTTTGTTAGAATACTATCCCTGTCTCATTTACTCTTCCACATTTATCAATTCATCCTTAAACCTATGAGCTCTACTGATTCTTTAGCTTTTAACGACACCACATTGATCATTTGAACACACTTATACCATCTTCGCTCAAGTTACACATGACCACCCTAAAAAACACTCTTACCATCCATCTTTCAACAGATACCTATTCCATATGGAGTGTTCAAATTCACAAAGTGTTCAAAGCCAACGATTTTGAAGGATACCTCACAAGAAGTTTCACTCCTCCAGTTAAATACAATGGCATATCTGGAGGTATGTTTAGTCCCAACTCAGATCAACTATGGATTCTGATAGCATATATATGAGCTACGATATGCCCACCACTTCTTCCTTATATTTTCTCCCTTGACATCTTCTTTGATATTTGGAACACAGTTAACCTATGACTAGAAGTAATAAATAGATCTCGACTCATTGAACTGCAAAACAAATTTCACAACATTCATATGTAAGGGAGAACAATGACACAATACTTTCTGTCATCAAGCAAAAGACTGATGCACTAACCATAGCTGGAACTTCCTAGCATCCTGAAGATATCATCTTATAAATCCTTAATGAAGATATATTTTCATATTCACAACCAACTATTCTAACATCAAGTCCCACCCCTCCACCCATCAGCCTCGTACCACTCTTCATCTCTACAAGTAAACCAATATATCATCCGACTCAAACACCAATAATAACCCTACCACCTGCTTCTTCAGCTGCAAAACTTAATTATTCTTCAGACACATACACTACCTCACACAATAACCCCAAATCCATTTCACCTTTATCAGTTGCACACACATCAAAACCAAACTCTCATCTAATGCAAATGAGGCTCCAGACTGGCGTTACAAAACCTAAATATATCCTCCAACTCTACCACACCAACATACCTAACAACCCCTCTACTATAAACAAGCTATCAAATACCCCCAATGGAGGAGTGCCATGTCCATTGAATTCCAATCATTACAATCACAAGGAAATTGGGAACTAGTCCCCCCTTCCCCCACCTTCAATCTCCTAAACTGACAATGGACATATCGAACTAAGTATCATATCAATAGAACCATTGTCAAATATAAAGCTTGGTTGGTCGCCCAAGACTTCAAACAAGAATATGAACTTGACTAATAGGACAAAGTCAGTCATGTAACAAAATTTACCACAATCAGGGATGCTACTCACTCTTGTAGACTCTAACAAGTAGGAAATTTATCTGCTCGACATTTTAAATGCCTTTCTTTATGTTAATGGACAACTCAAGAACATTGTATACACGAAGCAACCACAAAGATTCATTAACCTTTAATATCTAACTTATGTTTGTCGCCTTAGAAATGCCATTTACCTTCTTCGCTAATCACTAAGACAATGGTTCTTCATTTTTACCACCTTTCTACACCACATTGGTTTTTCTTCAATCCTGTCTTATCCATTTTTATTCACATCTATCATTCCACTAATGAAGCTTACATCCTCGTAAATGTAGATGATAGCCTATTTACTGGCAACACTCCCACCATTTTAACTAACATCGATCCTTACAACTCCTTAACATAAGTATCCCATCAATAACATAGGGTTTCTCTCCAGCTTACTTAGCCTCCAAATGGCTTCCACTGTCACGAACATTAACCTATATCAAACCACTATGCTCATTAAATCCTACTCAAAGCAAACATGCAAAATTTTAAACCAAGTCTCTCCACTTCATCTTTCAGAATCACTCCTTCCACCTATTTCTCTCAACCTTAACTCTAATGACAACTCACGGGCCCTCTCTAATTTCTCACATTAACACACCATGTTCTCACCTTCACCACTAATTGACCCTATCAATTTATGAAAAATCATACCAATTACTAAAATGAACCATCATATACATCAATAGAAACCTAAATCTTGGCATTCCCATAAACCACACCTCTTTCAGGCTCCAGGCATTCACTGCCTCAAACTGTACTAGAGACTACAACTGGACAGTGCATCCACTGGGACAAAATAATCTCATCTCTTGGACCACCAAGAAACAAAATTTGATTGCATTCTCATCCACGGAGGCTGAATATTAAACACTTACAGCTACTACAACTAAAATTATCTGGCTCTATTGTCTCCTCTGAGATCTTGGCATTCCTAACTCCACAACAGCCCATATATTCAACAGCATTACCTCTCTCATCGTACTTGCTCAAAATCCAATCTTTCATGCCAGAACTAAACATATCGAAGTTGATCATCACTATATATGTGAATGCATTCAAGCACAAACAATATCAGTTCACCACATAAACATTCAAGATCATCTTGTCGATCTCTTCACCAAGTCTCTCAACTTTTCTCGATTCATCTGCCTTCACTCCAATCTAACGCTCAAAGATCGTACATTAGATTTCAAAGCAGTAAAAGATATGTACGTCCAGCTCCGATACCCGTCACAACTCTCACCTTCAACTACCCCACCACAACTCTCACCTTCAACTACCCCACCACCAGATAAATCACAACTATCAAATCATAACATTATCCAACTTCACTTAACTTAAGAGATCCTATATCTTTATATATATGTTCCCCACCATTAATGAAAATCACATCGAAAAAGAACAAACATTCTTCTAATCATCTATCTTTTTTCTAACCTTAACAACCACAAATCCTTTCACATTGACAATACATTAATATTTATTGTCATAAATGGTTTAAAATTGTGTCCAATTAGAATTCAGTTGTATCCAAACTTTGATTAAAAAGAAAAAAAAAATGAAAATTGCTTTTACATACTTATCTTCATTTGCTTGATGAAGTAATAAAAGGTAATATATTCCCAATCATCTTATAAAAAATAAAAGGAAAATTTATGTACCTAAATTGCAAATAATATCTTGCTAACTCTATCTTTTTCTCCTCTATAATATCTTGCATATAAACTTCCCTTTTGATATTAATTAAATATTAGGGCATTTACATACATGCTACACAATTCCCATATATTTACATATCTAATAATTCAACAATCATATTTACATTCAACTCCTGCGATCGATCTGCGGGCCGCGTTTCAGGATAAACTGTTTATCCTGAAACGCACAAGCTGACCCGAACAGACCCTTATACTCTCAAATTTTCATCATCACGTCCATCAAAAATATCACAATCATTATAATCTTAAAAATCAAATACATCTTTTCATGCATGTATTTATGAGATTATAAGTATATGTGCATCTTTGATCATTGAATATAAAAAGTAAAAAAAAAAAAAACTTTAGAGAGTTAAATATATAAATACAAAAGAATTATGTGATATGTACCTGAACTACCCTTTTTAATGTTATTTACTATTAAGGGTCCGTTTGGGGCAGCTTATAAGTGTGATGACATTTTTTAAAGCGCCGTGATACCGTTTGGATCATACATTTTGTCCGCTTATCCGAAAACATGATTCTATTTTTACACTAAACACAAACAACGGTCAAGTCCTGCGGTCGACCCGCTTGCCACATTTCATGATAAATTGCTTATCCTGAAATCCACGAGCTGCCCCAAACACATCCTAAGTCATTTACATCCATGACACACTATTCTTATGTATTTACATATCAAGCACCTAAATTTTATTTTTTACATTTATATCATTCATATTTTCATATTTTCATATTTTTCTTTTTCATAAATATATCACTATTTTAATTAAAAAAAATAAAAATTGAGAATATCATTTAGATACTGTTTTGGTAGGCATCAATTCAACCAGATTTGTGCTGTAATTTTTGGGGACAAATTAAACAGGCAGGATCAAGTTGAGGGCTAAAGTGTAATTTTTCAAAATAGTGATTGGTAAAACTGTAATATAGCAATTGGACTGCATATATGTATATATATATATAATAGCGGGCGTATGAGCTGCATGAAACTTTATCAGGGGCGATGTTCTGGTGCTTCTCTCTCTAAAAAGACGCACATAATCTGATCATTAGATTTCACCCGCTCGCATTCATGGCGGTCTCTCTCATTGAGAGCAGGTTCCGGCGAATTTCGGGTATGGATAAGAATTGGAGAGGAGTAGATTCGAGGAGGAGATGCGGCGATTTCTTGCTTTTTTACTTCCTTTTTCCCTCCACTTTCTCTCTCTAGATTTCGGCACCTAAAATATCGGCAAGTTGCTCTAGTCCCCAACTGGAGAAGGCGGCATCGCTGTCCATCTGCTTCTTCTTCTTCTTCTTCTTCTTCTTCTTCTTCTTCTTCTTCTTCTGTTTTCTGTGGAGAGATTGCAGTCTATAAATTTCTATAGATGGATTGATATGTGGGGAAAGAGATCGGGGAGGGGAAAAGGGAGGAAGATTTGTTGGTTTCTTTAACTGCAATTGCCTGATTGAAGAGACGAACCGTTTTTATTTGAACAATAATTTTGGATAACTTTTTTTACCGTTCGTACCCTAACCTTTAATCGGTTTGTGGTCCTTCGACTTTCTGTTTTACCCTTTTTTACTTTAAGTTTTTACTGCTGGTAATCTCCATTTTTCATCGGGGAGATTGTTTTCGTGAAGATTCAATGTTTTTAATGTGAAAGAATGGCGCATTTTACTGCCGGGTTAAAGAGTTGGGGGTTTTAGGGGGTACGGTGTTGATCTGGAATTAATGATTCGGGGTTCGACTTTGATACGTTCGTGTCTGTGATCTGAGTGTGAGGAGGAAACATTCGTCCCAAATGGGGCTGGTTATACGGAAGAAGGAAGGAGGACGGGAAAAGGATCACTGACTGTCTTCGCCCCCACTACTCTCCTCCTCTTTACCCTTACATTCTCTCTCTTGTTTCTCTTTCTATATCTCTATCGCGGCCCCGTTTCTTTAATCGCGCGCTCGACATCTGGATAGATTGGTTTATGTCAGATGTGAGACGGAGTGGAGTTGATTTTTTTTAATGGCGGAGAAGCTTCGTCGCATGCCATGTTACTCTTGCTAACTTCCCACTCGTTTGTTTAGGATTAATTTATTTCTTATGGTTGGCTTTTTTCTTTTCGCTATAGCTAATGGTGCTTTCCCCTGTTTAAATGCAGGGGAGCCGCTCCTTTGTTAGGCTCTTGGTTTAATGAATCTGGCCTCCGGCAGCCAACATAGCGATCTTATGCCGGGAAACAAGTATAATAATCGGAGTCAGAACAGGGTTGATAGGCTGCTGCGAGTGAGGGAACTCAGGAAGCTTAGCAAAGCATTTAACATCGAAGAAGATGATGCAGCTGGAAGCAGGGAGGTTAATAACGGAATTGATTGCTCCCGGGAGGCTGATCACCTGCCTGAGGATGAGATGGGAGGTGCAGAGTACACGCGAGAGCATGAGGAAGCAGGGATAGAGACGGCTCCCCAAGTTGCCATGAGGGTTCTGGGGGATGGATGCAGAGCTTCGGAAGGGAAGCCCATGAAGCAGAGGCTGCTGGTGGTGGCGAACCGGCTACCTGTGTCGGCTGTTCGTCGTGGTGAAGATTCGTGGTCGCTGGATATCAGCGCCGGTGGTCTTGTCAGTGCTCTGCTCGGTAAGTGGAGTGATAGAACAGTTCTTTATTGTACATATTACATGCATTATCGGAAAATATTTCTCGTTTTTTGATAGAATTGTACCGGTACAGTAAACTAATTGGATTTGCTTGCAAGTTATTTGATTTCTTTTGGATAACATGTTACTGTTATCTATTTACATTTATTTTGTATTTATTTTTTTAATATTTATATTTTTTACATCGCATCTAAAATTTTATTAATATCCTATTTTTAACATATAATATATCTTTTTTATGTGTATATTTTGATGTGATTGTGCCACTAAAATATTTAAATAAAATTTTGTGGCGTATATATATGTAAATTCCTTTTTTTTTTCATCTCCCTAATTTTATGCATTCAGTAATTGGAGTTCTGAGATCTTAACTCCTTTGCTTGGTTTTACAGGTGTGAGGGATGTTGATGCTAAATGGATTGGATGGGCTGGTGTAAATGTGCCGGATGAAATTGGGCAGAGGGCACTTACAAAAGCACTGGCTGAGAAGGTTTGTTCAAGTTTTAACTAGGTTTTTTTTTAAGCTGCAATTTCTTGGTTCAGATTTGGTCTTTCTTACGTTATTGCTCAGAAAAAAAATGTTTTTTTTTTTTTTTTGTTAGCAGAGATGTATTCCGGTTTTTCTTGATGAAGAAATAGTTCATCAATATTACAATGGCTACTGTAATAATATTCTATGGCCTCTTTTTCACTATCTGAGTCTTCCCCAAGAAGAACGACTCGCCACAACTCGCAGCTTCCAGTCTCAGTTTGACGCATATAAAAGGGCGAACCAGATGTTTGCTGAAGTGGTGAATCAACACTATGAAGAGGGCGACGTTGTGTGGTGCCATGATTATCACCTTATGTTTCTTCCAAAATGCCTTAAGGATTTTGACAGCAGGATGAAAGTTGGTTGGTTCCTTCACACACCTTTTCCTTCCTCGGAGATTCACAGGATGCTGCCATCTCGTTCTGAGCTGCTTAGATCTGTTCTTGCTGCTGATTTAGTTGGGTAAGCATATATTTTCATTCTGATGGCCCGGGCAACGTGTGATTGACACATGATCTCATAAAGCATGCATGACACTCTGTATTCCACTGTGAGAAACTCTTATCCACATGGGGAACACTCATAATGACAATGGTAAAAAAATGAAAGGTCATTTACATACATACCACTCAATTTCTATGCAATTACATATCGAGCACCAAAATTTTAATTTTTAAGTACATGCCACCTTACCTATGCATGCAATATTACAATTTTTGAAAGTTTATATGGTGTATTTTTTATATAATATGAAAGATTTTTGCAGTATAAATGTAAAATGTGAAATTTAGGTGTTAGATATGTAAATATATAGGAATTGAGTGGTATGTATGTAAATGCACCAAAATTGAATTGGAAATAAAACACCTTTTTTTTGGGGCATTTACATACACACCATTCAATTCCTACATATTTACATATTTAGCACCTAAATTTTATTTGCCAAATTTATATAATCCAAAATTTTCATACATCACGTCAAAAAGGTCACACTTTTAAAAAGTCAAATACACTGTGCCATGCATAGGTGAGAGGGCATGTATGTAAAAATTGAGATTTAGGTGCTAGACATGTAAATACTTAGGAATTAAGTGATATGTATGTAATTCTACCTTTTCTTCTTTTTTGGAATGGTGGCAGAATTGGACTAGTTAAAAGAATACACTTGTTTGCAACCAAGTACACCTACCCATGCTCATGTTTAGTAGCCCGACTAGTTAAAGGTGTTGGTGTCGCCCTAATTTTTCTCGAGTAAATGAGAATATAAAATTGTTAGGTACCACTAGGAATGCCTTTTTGGTTCCTTCTTCCTTCCAATCAGTTCGCATGGTTATGCATGTAGTCTTTTTTTTTATAATATTTATTGGAGAGTTGCATGAGAGTTGCATGACGAAAAAAAGTTTTTATGAACGATATTTATTGAAAATATGTTCTGATGAGTGAAAAGTGTAGGGATGCAAACCTTCAAATTCCATCTTAATTTTTCCGGGACATCTTTGACAATGGGTTATGTGGATTTTCATTACATGATATTTTTATTTTATGATGGAAGGAGATGACATCATATAGAATTTCATGATTAAAGATTCATAGCGAAGACTCTTGGGTGGCCAAACGAGGACGAAAAGTTTCTTGAAGTTGATGTCTTAAAGTTTAAAATTTAAATCATCAAAGCGTGAGAAACAAAAGTTGACATCTTAGGGCAGGGAAAGTATAAAGGGAATATTAATTACAAACCACACAATTATCATGTATTTACATATATAAAGCGCACCCAAAGTTTAATAATTACGCTTATAACACCTTGGTATCACATGTGTATACATGCTGTGACAGTCTCGAACTCTCACCCATCAAGGTATTGTCCGCTTTGGCCTAGTGGTTTCACGATTTTGCCCCATTGGTGTAGCCTCTTAGGAGGTCACCGCATCCTAGGAGTGCTATAGGAGGATCACACTTAACTTTGGATTTTCCAATAAAATTCTACGGTTACACTAAAAGACATCTCGATTTTTAAGAGTTCAATTTCAATATATGTAAGTTGTTCTTCATCATCTGTACTCTATACTCAGAATCATCCACTAGACATATAAGATTCCAAGGGTGACCCCTATAGATTCAAAAGGTGGCTCCCTCCATGTAGCAATTTGTCCCATCCAAGGTTCAAGAGATGGCTCCCATGGTTCAACACTTTGTTTTGTATGACACTTAGTTCCCATCTTTCGTTTAGTGTATTGTTCTGATACCATTTATGACAACCTGAACTCTTACCCAATCAAGTTATTGCTCACTTTGGCCTAGTGGTCTCACATTTTTGCTCTGTTGGGGTAGTAACTTTCCTAAGGGCATCTATCCTAGGAGTGATTCAAGACGAGCATGCTTAACTTTGACGTTTCTAATGAAATTCCACCGTTAGTTTCTAATGAAATTCCACTGTTAGTTTCTAATGAAATTTCATAATTACATCAAAAGATGTCTCGATGTTCAAGAGTTCATTGTCAATCCACTTAATGAATTTCACAATCTCTCTTGCTGAAGTACTAATATCTTCGTTAGTGCTCTATACTCAGAATCATCCGCCAAGCAAATAGGATTCTATAAGTGCCTCTTATAGATTCAAGGGGTGGCTTCCACCATGTAGCACTTTGTCTTATCTTGGGTTCAAGTGGCGGCTCCTATGAAGTAGCATGTTGTTCTATATTTCCCTTAGTTCTCATCTTTTGGCTCGGTTTAATACTCTAATACCATTTGTGACATCTAGAGCACTAACCCATTAAGGATGTATTGTTCTCTATGGCTCAGTGGTCTGTTAGTTTTGCCTCGTTAGTGTAACTTCCCAGGCGGTCACCCATCCTAGAAGTGCTCCAAGGCCAACAAGCTTAACTTTGGAGTTTCTAATGAAATTCAATGTTACACTAAAAGATGTCTCGATGTTTAAAAGTTGGCTTTAATCGAATTAAGGAATTTCACAAAATCCCTCACTTAAATACCAAATGTCCTCATCACTGCTCTATACACAAAAACACCCACCAGGCAGATAGGATTCTAGGGGCAGCCCCTACATATTCAAGATGTGGCTCCCACCATTATAGAGCACTGTTGACTCGTCCTGGAGTACTCCCAGGATGACCTCTTAGGAAATTATACCTTTGGGGCAAAACATCGAGACCACTAGGCCAAAATAGGCAATACTTTGATGAGTGCTCAAAGGGAAAATGTGTATTTCACTTTTAAAAAGATAGTGAGGTGGTATTTAGATATGATATTAAAAATTTGAGTGATATGCATGTGAATATGAATATTTAGGTGTTGGATATGTAAATACATGATACTTACGCGGTATTTATTTTAATGCCTCATGCATATATGATACCCAAGTTAATCCAAAAATCATAATGGAAGAATGCTTTACTATTGAAATTAAAAAGGGGTTTCAAACATGACACTTGAAAACAAGAAAAACGACACAACACCCAGTTAGGGCATAGGTTGGCATGGTGGTGATGTGGTTGGAGGGGTTGAACCGGATGGGGGAGGAAGGTTGGTGGTTATGTAGGGTGAGGGGGATGATTTGAGATGGCAACTGGGCAGAGAGGGCTAGCCGGTGGCTGGAAACAGGGAAGGAAGGGGGGTTGCTTGGTCGACGAAGGGTGACCGGCACTTGGAAGCAAGGCGAAAGTAGATGGCAGGGTGACTGACAACTGGAAACAGAAAGGGGGAGATGGTTTGTTGGTTGACGGCTAGAAGCATGAAATGAAGATGCAGGGTGAAGGGCGGCGAGGAGGAGAGGGATTGCGTGGGAGGATTAGGTTGACGTCGCCATCGACTCGGAGTATGATACAACTGAAGCACCATTTGTCATCGAATAAAACTCTATAAAGGGAAAATGTCTATAAGTAGAAATCTGAAACCAGAAAACAAGACTAAATCCTAACACAACTAACAACGTATTTATAATAAGGTAAATAGGAGTCAGTAAGTAATTCCTCCAACGCGAACTTGAACTGGTCCAGCCTCCTTGTTGGATCGACACCCACTTGCTAAACCGATAGGGTCAACCTAAGGCTTTAGTCACCCGGGGTCAGGGGAGCTTGATTCGTCGATGCTTCAGTTCAAGTTCGCGACATTGAACATAATGAGAACAATGTAGTCACCTAATAGGTCAATCTCGTAGGCATTGTCATTCAGCTTCAAAAGTATTTTGAAAGGGCTGTATGCTCTGGGCTTGACTTTTCTGAATGCTTCTACTGGAAATTTCTCTTTTTTTATTCGGATCCACACTAGGTCTCCTTCTTGGAAAGTCATCTTTTTCTCTGTTTTGCTGCTTGTGCATGGTACTTCTGTTTCTACTTATTGATCTCTTTTCCTACTTCCTTGTGGAGCTTTTGAATCTCTTGCACCTGTTCCTTAGTGTCCTCACTTATCATTGATGTCTGCGGGAGTGGTACCAATTTGAGCAGTGCGTCTTGTAGACGGATTCATTGATCTGTTGTGTGCAGACTCAGTATGGCTAGAATCAAATCCCATAGCATAATTCTTTTTTCCAACAAAGCATCTCAACAGACTTCTAAGACTTCTATTCACTTCGTCCGTCTCACCGTCCATCTGTCGATGAGCTGCAGAATTGAATTAAAGCTTAGTTTATAGTTTCCCCATAGGATCCTTTAGAATTGACACAGAAATTTGGCATCCCTATTTGAAGTGATGGTCCTGGGTATCTCATGTAACTTACAATCTTTCTGAAGCACAAATCGGTGACATGCGATGCATCCAACATCCAGTGACAGGGTGTGAATTGTGTCATATTCGAGAATCGATGCATCGCAACCATAAATAAATTCTTGTTCCGCTATGCCCTCAGAAGACAAACCATAAAATTCATACTAACATGCACCCATGGTGCCTCTGGTACCGGTAATGGGGTGTATAGTTGTGATTTTTGCCACATGATAAATTTGACATTGCATGATGTCGCTAGTCGGGGCCAAAAGAACTATTCTCTCACGAGTGCGAAAGTTTTGTCCCTGCCATAATGCCCTGCAAGTCCTCCACTGTGGTTTTCCTGAACAATTAACTGTCTCAGTGAACATCTAGGAATGTATAACTTTGTTAGAACAAGTAATGATTAGCTCTATAGTATTGCCTAGTAGATTTCTCCTGACACGACTCCTAGATTTTCCCAAAATCCTCGTTTGGCTCGTACAAGTCATTCACTATCTCAAAGCCTATGATCCAAGCCTGTATCACGGTGATTGGAAAGTGATGACTGCTCAGTGCATCTGCTACACGATTCTGACTACCCGCTTTGTGCTTAAGCGCGAACTGGGACGACGCTAAGAACTTGACCTAAGTAGCATGTTGGCCCTTCAGTTTACTCTATTTGCTTAAGAATTTCAAAGCTTCGTGGTCTGTAAACAACGAAACTCACTCATCAGTAAGTAATACCTCCAATGCTCAAGAGCTCTCACAATAACATAGAACTTGTCGTCGTATGTCAAATATTTCCTCATGTGCTCATTCAGCTTCTCACTAAAAAAAAGGTATGTGGTGACCTCCCTGGCTTATCATTGTTCCTATCCCCACGACAAATGCATCACACTTTACCTCAAATAGCTGATTAAAATCTGGTAATGCTAAGACTGGTGCCTAGGTTATTTTTTTTTCAGTGCGTAGAAACTATTTGAGTTGTATTTGTCCACCGGACTATTTCTCCCTTGATGGCACTGAAGCTCCTGATGATTCAACTGTAAAATAGCGCTGGTCCTAAAAACTGTCTCAGCTTCGCGAAAAACTGCAGTGCGGTTCGGTTCAGCTCATAATGGTCTTGATCTTTGTAGGATTCATCAGAATGTCTACAATAGACACAATATAACTCAAAAGGCATACCTGGGCTATCATAAAGCGACACTTCTTTGAATGACATATAGTTATTTGCTTGTAACACCTTGAATATCGTCCTCAGGTGTTGCAAGTGCTCCTCAAATCGGCTGTATATCAAAATGTTGTCCAAGTACACCTCAGACAAATTTTCCAATGTGAGTCTGAAACACCTAATTCATTATCCTCATGAATACATTGGGCACATTAGAGAATCCTAAGGGTATAACTGCCCACTCATATAATTCATCTCGTGCCTTTAAGACGGTCTTTCACTCGTCCCTTGGTATTATCTGAATTTGGTGGTACGCACTGCGTAAGTCGATCCAGTGCAACTGATCCAAGAGATCACCTAGATGAAGTATGAAGAACTGATACCTGATAATAATCTCGTTGATGGCTCTACTGTCAATGTAAATCTGCCCTGAACCTTCCTTCTTGAGTACCATCAGAGCTGGAAAAGCACGCAGAATGATACCTCATGAAGAGATCCTATATTTTTCGCTGCAACTCGTACTCTACAGGTTTCAACCTGCAAGCAAGTCAGTTTGGTAACACTGATCCAAGTATGAGATCTATGACGTGCTGAATTTCTCTGTGGCGGAAATTCCTTTGGAAGACTGTAAGTCCTCACACCCTGGTAGTCATGTAGATATAGCTTTATCGATGTTGGTTTCTCAATCTTCCTTAGTCCTCTCTAGTAGGACCAACGCCATCGCTACTGGAGCATCTCGAACTGATTGCATGAAGGCGGCCTTCGAGGCTATATCATCAACACCTCTTGCATCATTGACAGGTAATAGCACGATGCGTTTTTCATCATTTTTAATAAGTATTTTTTAAACTGTTGTGTTGAGTCTTACGGTCGAACTGGCAAGGCCTCCCCATTAGAATATGACACACATCCATTAGAATCATGATGCAACACACTTGCTTCTGTAACCAATCCCCAATTGAGAACTGAACCAAACACTGTTGATCTACAAGTATCCCATTTCCCCTCTTCAACCAGGGAAGAGAATAGGATTGAGGATGTTTCTGTGTGGCTAATTCCTATTTATTCACCATCAACGTGGATGCTACTTTTTCACTTCTCCCATTGTCGATAATCAAACATGAAAACGTTGCCCTTCACCATACACTTAGTGTGAAAGACACTGTGTCTCACCATGACTGATCTCTCTCCGGTTATGTTTGTAGGACTCTATGTATGACTAACATCTCTCCCTCGTCACCCTGGAACTGAAACTCATCCTTTGGATTATCCTCTAATTCCTCTTCCTCCACTTTCTCCAAGATCCCCTGATTTGAGAATGAAACAACTCGGCTCATGAGACAGCTAGAGGCTATGTGTCTGTAGTTATGGCATCTAGAACTCCTTCTAACAGACATTATACTTGGCGAGCTACCCTTTTCCGGCTTCTTACCACTCATACATATCTCATCACTTTCCTGTCTTGTCTTGCCAACTCTTCTAGAGGTATTCTTGTCGGTTGTTTTAGCTGTAAGTGACTGCGTGAATGAAAACTACTGCTTGCTCCATTTCTATTGTTTTTCTATTCTTCAAGGCTAAGGTCTGAATATGCTCAGTGACCAATATGACTGTAACTGCATAATATTGCTAATGACACCCCAGATAACAGGTTATGGTGTATTCCTCTAACTCAATGAACTCACACTTCATCTGATATTGGTCGAAAGCGTCGTGAACTCCTCCACTGATATGTCTCTCTCCTGCAGATGATAGTCTCAGAAACATATTATGACAATAATGAGGTTGAAGGTATTTTCTCTGCTCCTTCCTCATCTTTTCTCATTTGATGATCTTATCACTATCTTCTCTCTTTCTCTGCCTCACCAAGTTTTCCCACCACAATGAGGTATTCTTTTTCAATTTGATGATTACTAATTTTACCCGTTTATCCTCTGACACTTTCTTATACTCGAAGATTCACTAAACATATTGCAGTTAGTAGATAAAGTCATGTCGATGCATACATCCATGAAACTCCTGTAGGTTCATCTTGATGCCGAAATCCCTGTGGCCTCCTCTAATAAAGTGTTTCGAAGCTTTGGGGCCTATTTTTCTCTTCATTGACGTCTTCCCTATGGAATGGATTTTAATCATCGTTCCTGTCTCCCCTTTAACTCTTCAGACCACGGTTGAGGGTAATCTCTCGCAAATCTCTGTTGAAGCCGACGAATCTTCCGCTCTATCTCGTGTCGGGTAGATTTCAACACGTATCTACTTGGTGGCAGAATCATGGTTTATGGATTGGAAGGTGTGGTTGAGGGTAAGAAAGAAAAAAAAATCTTGGAGGGGTAAGGTGGATGCTAGGAGAAACCCTAGGATATGACTAGGATTAGGCTAGCTCTGATACCAAATGATACTAGAGTTAACCTAAAAACCACAATTGAAGAATAATTTACTACTGAAATAAAAGAGGGGTTACAAACACGTTATTTGAAAATAAGAACAATGACGCTACTAGGGCGTAGGTTGGGGTGGTGGTGCTGTGGTTGGAGGGGTTGACCCGGATGGGGGGAAATGTTGGTTGCTAGGGTAGGGTAAGGGGAGTGAGCGGGATGGTTTGTGATGGAAACTAGGGCGGTGAAGGCTAGGCCGCGGCTGAAAACAGGGAATGAAGGGGGCTTGGTTGGTCAGCAACTGATGACTGGGTGGAAGGAGGTGGTAGGGTGACTGGCGGCTGGAAGCAGGGAGAATGTAGATGGCAGATTGGCCGGCGGCTGGAAACAGAATGGGGGGAGATTGTAGGTTGGCTGGCGGCTGTAAGCAAGAAAGGAATAGGCAAAGTGATGGGCAACGAGCAGGAGAGGGGTTGCGTGGGGGGATTAGGTAGAGGTTATGACCACCTCAGAGCAAGATGCAACATGAGTATCACTTGTCCTCGAATACAACTCTAGCAAGTGAAAATGCCTGGAAACAGAAATTTGAAATAAGTAAATAAGATTAAACCCTAACACAACAAGCAGGATATTTATTTGGGGGGGTACCCACTTACTAAACCGATCAGTTCGGCCCAAGCCAAGCCATCAATATAGCTGGCTAAATGAATTGCCATGAACCAGCAATAGTCTACGACTCAAAATGTGCCGTGTTGTGCTGAAAGATTGAATTTTTCTTTTGTTCTGCCATTTGCTTTTCATTTGCATGGTGAGCTCTTCCTGTCTTGTTGGTAAACTAATTTTTCTATTGAATTACAACCTTCTTCTTCTCTGATGATGATATACAGTTTTCACACATACGACTATGCAAGACACTTTGTAAGTGCTTGTACTCGAATACTTGGACTTGAGGGTACACCAGAAGGAGTGGAAGATCAGGGAAAGCTGACACGGGTGGCTGCGGTATAATTTGCATTCTTATTCCTATTTGAATAATCTCGTATTATATGATTTTTTTTAAGAAAAGTGTCAAAATGGTTCCGACTTCTTAAAGTCGACCTTTTGGTCCAGAGTTTATAAAAAAAATGTTAATTTAATCACCACTCTTTTAATATGGTTTAAAATAATTTTTATTAAGAGATTCTAAGGACTAAATTAACACATTTATAATTTGGGACTAAAATAACAGAGGACTATTTTGACACTTTTTTGTCATTTTTTTTTACTTGTAAAGTTAGATATATTCTTGATTAGAAATGTCTTGATTCCTGATGCTATTTTTGTTTTTTCTCTCTTTTGGCACACATAATAGTTTCCCATCGGCATAGACTCCGACCGGTTTAAGCGAGCTCTTGAGCTCCCAGCAGTTAAAGTTCACATCAACGAATTAACCCAAAGATTTACTGGTAGGAAGGTATGACAGTTTTTTTTTTCCTATTCAGGCAGCGTGAATAGTAATTTTTATTTGGGACATTTACATACATTCCAAAAAATTCTTATGTATTTACGTATACTTGTAACACTTTGTTATCATAAAACTATGCATGAAAAAGTTCTATTTCGGTTTTAAGAAAAATAGTGATTTTGGTATTTTTTATATGAGATTAAAGGTTTGAGTGGTATGTATGTAAATATGAATGTTTAGGTGTTAGGCATGTAAATACGTAAGAATTTTGTGGTATGTATGTAAATGCCCCTTTATATTAATGAATAGAAGGATTTGGTTTATTATCTTTATGGCCGGTCATTCATTTTTGGCTGAACACAACAAATGTCAACTACCTGCACCTGTCCGCCTGCTTTCCAACTAAGCATGTAAATTCACATGCACGGACATACGTCCCTTGTCCAACGAGCAAAACATGTAGCAGGAATAAAAAATAGTCTCTTGATTACAGTTTTATTACTTAGTTTAATGGAGATAGATGATTTTCAAAGTATGACCATTTTATATTTCAGAAAACTTCATAAATTTTGTCAATTTCGCTCTTAGTGTTAGATTAAAGTTTTGTAATAATAGACATATTTTTTTCATTAATTTGACATGATTGTGCTATCATTTTTTCTTAATATTTTAGGTCATGCTCGGTGTTGATCGTCTTGATATGATAAAAGGGATCCCTCAAAAAATTTTGGCTTTTGAGAAGTTCCTTGAGGAAAATTCAGTATGGCGTGATAAAGTTGTCTTGCTACAAATTGCAGTACCTACAAGAACGGATGTTCCCGAGTGTATGTTTTTATTATAGTTGATTGTTCTTTTACCCATTTTTGGCTAGGGTATTTCTTGTAATCCTTCGCTTTTTATATTATAGCACGATGAAATGGTCTCATACTAAACTCAAACGTGCGCATCTATATTTAAACATAAGCTATTCCCTTACAAATGATTGAAGATAAGATAAGTGCAAGCTATGCATGGCTTGGTGGGGCCCTCAATAGGCTTTGTCAAGGAAAAAATAACAAGCAAAAGCACAAAGATGAACCCAAACATAACAAATATGCAAACAAAGACACATTAAATTTATGTAGTTTAATGAGATCCACTTATATCCATGTTCACACAAAGATCAAATCTAGATGCTTTGAAATGGAGTGCATGGAGTGATTGAATTACATACAAAGAGTTAGGAACTGTGGTACCACTTTATCCATGTTAATAGTTTAGAGAAAATGAATCTATCTACTATGAGAGTAAGGGATGAAAATGGAGTGGAAGATGGTGTAATTACTTATTCTCTCTCTATTGTATGAGAAACTAGAGCATCTTTGCGCTATGGATAAAATTTTTCTTATTGAATGAGTGCCAAAATAGTCGTAGCTATTTATATGGGGTCATCTTAATCCCATATTCTATAAAAGTGTCAAAGTAGTTCTCATACTCCATACCGAGGCTGAAATAGTCCACTGTGATGATTATTTTAGTCAATGTTAAGGGGGTATTTGCTAGCATAGTTTTAATAGAATTTAGTGTAAATACAACCAAACATAAAAAAAATCTCACGCTCTATTTAATCGAATTTTTTCAGGTTTTTTTTTCTTTCTGCGTTCTGTCTCATTTACGACATAAATTCAATTGCAAGATGGATTTAAGAATTTGTTCAATCGTACTGCGAGCGTCATCTAAGAGAACAATTTGTGAATCTAAAAATTCGGCTTTTAGTGATCTTTATAATAAATTAGATACTAAAGAGGGTGAAAAATATATGTATAAACTAGGCAAACAAAGAGAAAAAGAAAGTAAATATTTAATCCAAGTGTCTCAAAGATGAAAATCAAAAAGTGATTTTCTAAGGAGAAGACATTCAACATAGATGGGTGAGCCATTTTGATAAACTTTTAACTGAAAATACAATTGATCTTAATGATCTTAATTTTATTAATAATAATCAAATGTTTTGTTTTTACCATAGCATTGGTTAAAAAAAAAGGTTAAGGAGGCTTTAAAGAAAACTAAGAGTGAAAAATCTATAGGACCTAATGATATATCAATTGAAGTGTGGAAATATTTAGGAAATTTGAGAGTTTTTTGGCTTACTAAACTCTTTAATTTTGGCTTACTAAACTCTTTAATGACATACTAAAATTTTTATAGTTATTTTAAAAACTAAAAAAATGCCTAATGAGTGGAGAAAAAATATCGATTCATATTTTTAAGAATAATGGTGATGCACAATAGTGTGCAAATTATAAATGAATTAAGTTGATGTGTCATACTTTAAAATTATGGGAGGGTAATTGAACATAGTTTAAGATGTGATACTAAGATGTGATACAAAGATGTGATACAAAGATTTTTGATAATTAGTTTGGATTTATGTCGGACATGTCTAATATGGAAGTTATAGATTTAATGAGAGGTTTTATGGAGAAGTACGAAGAAAATAACGACGATCTACCTATGATTTTTATTGATTTAGATAAAGCTTACGATAAGGTTCCATGAGAAGTTCTTTGGAGAGTTCTAGAGAAAAAAAGATGTAGATATGAACAACTGTTACTTGTGTTCTAACTAATGGAGCATTAATCAAGTATTTTTCTATTTCACTTGGATTACATCAGGGATCAACTTTAAGCCCATATCTTTTTTACTTTAGTTATGGATGCTCTTACTAGACATTTACAGGAGGATTTATCTTGGTTTATGTTTTTCGCTGATGATATCCTTCTTGTGAATAAGGCTAGAGAAATAATTCAGAAAAAACTTTCAGGAAATACTTGAATTATGGAGGTTTTCATTGGAGTATAAAGGCCTTTGTTTGAGTAGTTCTAAAATTGAATACATAGAATGTAATTTTAATAGTCTGGTGGCAGAGTTTTAGTTGCTCTAGTGACAGATTTGTAATTATGGGTGATCAAATCATTTAAAGCTACGAACGTTGTAGATTTATCTGGTTTATTGTTTAAAGTGATGATGATATAGATGGGGATTTTATTAGTAGAATTCAAGTTTGTTGGTTGAAGTGGAGGATTGCATCAGACTTATTGTGTGATAGGAAAATACCGTTTAAGCTAAAAGGAAAATTTTATAAGATGGTGGTGAGAACCGCAATGCTCTATGACACAGAATGTTGGCCTTTGAAAGAGAAACATAAAATAAAGATAAGTATTGTTGAGATGAGCATGCTTAGTTGGTTGAGTGGTTTGACACTTAGAGATAAAATGTAAAATGAATATATTCGTGACAAGTTTGGTGCGACTTTAGTGGCAGACAAGATTAGAGGGAGTTGTCATAGATGTTTTGGCCACATCAAAGGCCGACCATCTGATTATCTTTTTAGGAGAGTAGATGTTTTAGTTTCGACTTATCTTAAGAAAGAGAGGTAGATCTAAAAAGGCTTGGGCATATTGTAAGAAAGATGATCTTAAACTATTAGAATTAAATGAAAATATGACACTCAGTAGGACACAATGGAGAAAAATGATTCATGACCCGACCCTATTTAGTTGGATAAAGATGTTCTTAGTTGATTCTCTTTTATCTTTCTCTCTCTTATCTTTATTTGCATGCTATTGCAGGATGCCCCTTCTTCAAAGAAATTTCTAGTCGCAATACAACAAAGTCTCAAAACATAGAATTAATCACAATATCCTATGAAATTTTATAAATTTTCTTAAATTCAACAAAAGTTCTCGTAAATGATTTATCTATATCTTTGCAAATCTCAATTTAAATAGAAAGCCTCACTCATGTCCTATAGATAATTAAAGATTAGAATATTTTGATTTCATAACTTTAATAATCTCTCGCTTGACTGTATAAAATTTAGTGTGCAATTTTTCAATACCTCTCTTAGCAGGATAATTATGCCACCATTCATAGAGATTAATTCATGCATCACAAAACTTTTTTTTGCGTATTAAACTTGGCAAGCTATTTTTGTATGAGCTTCAAGCAAACTGTTTATGTAGTCTTACTTGAGTTGCGTGCGCTGTTTAGGAGTGGAAGCTGATCTTTTTTTCAAATAAATAGCACTTTAGTCGTCATAAATAAGTAGAATTCTTGCAACCTCTCCATTTCTTCCAAAAAAACTTTTTTGCTAGATGTAGAAAATAAGTAATGAGAAAAAATCTCAAGAATTTTTATTTCCTTCTTTGTACAAAGGGGAATGTATTTCTCCCAGAGGTATCATAAAATTGAAATAAATCAAAAAAGAAGGGAAAAATAGGGGCCTGTGATCCTATAAGAAAGCACACAAATTGTAGTCTAAGATTTGTTAAGAAATAGATCTTATTTTACAGAGCCTCAATTTATGTGCTTTGATCTAATGTTATAGAACCTCAATTTGTATGCATTGATCTAACTGTACAAAGCCTTGATTTGTGTGTCAAATTTTTTATTATCATTAGAGTATAAATTCAACACTTTCTTAAACTGGATGGTAGAGATTTGTCATTCTAAGTTTGCTTATGATATTTTTAAAAGTTGGGTTACAAAGTCTTTTGGTGAATATGTCAGCCAGTTGATTTTATGTTGACACATATAGAGTACAAATCAAGCTACTTTCTAATCTCTTTTTTATAAAATGCCTATCAACCTCTTAGTATGATCATGTTGTACAATACTGTGTGCAATACTGATGACTGATTTGTTATCACTATAACTTTATAAGCTCTTTTTATTTGATTTTTAATTCTTCTAATATAATTTAAACCCATAGAAACTCACAAAGCCTTTGTGCAATGGCTCTAAAGCCGACTTTAACACTTGATTTGAAATCAGGACTATTTCTTGCTTCAAAGTTATGAGATTTCCTCCTAAGAATATACCTTATCCTGAAAATTTCCTTCTATCCACTGGTGATCCCGCATAATCTGTTGTCGGTCATCGGAAAATGTGTTTGCCCTCTCTTGAAAATTTTTGCTTTGAATTTAATTTATATTTATATATATATATATATATATATATAATTTTTGAAAATAGAATTTTAATGTTGAAAAATGTGACTAACAAGATCTCGTTAATTTAATAATTTAAATAAACGAACACAACATCACTAGCAATCTATCCCGAAGAACATACACATTACTAGATAATGGAACTCGATTAAATAAATTAATGAATTCATGACATCCAATTGGTATGCGTAACTTTTTATTTTGACCGACAAGTTTCCCTATCTGATACAAATATTCGATAGGTTTTATATTACTTGGATTCTTAAAGCTCGCTATAGAGTCAAACCCCTATAGTTAATTATATCTCAAATGACCGAAATGATTTAAGAAAAATATCGATTTAGATCAGAGGCGTTTGTCTTTAAGAATCTCAGTTTAGGATTTCAAGGTTGAACATAGAAAGTCAAGTAGGAATGAATTAAGATAGGAACAATTTATTTTAGGAATCCAAAGGAAGAAAAGTAAGAGATGTCACAGATTCTGAGGGTATTCTCAGTGACTTCCCAAACAATCCTATTGTGTGACTTCATATTTTGGAAAAAATATTTATTTTGATGTTTCATTCTATTAATCTTAATATTTAGGGCTCATATTTGCATGACTCGGTCATACAAATGACCTGGAAGATAGAAAGATTTATGTCGTAACAAACGACAACCTCAAACCTTAAAGCAAGTTAGACTTAAATCACACAACATGACTGTGCAAAGACCTAAAAAAATAAGTTAAGGATTTGCGTCGTATTAGACGAGCTACTTCAAAATCATTTGGTCTGTTATTTAATTCTAAGGAAAGTTCAGTTGATATAGAGTGTTTTTGCTATTGTAGATTAT